TCATGGATGGAATACACATCACTGTAAAGATGTAAATTCTCATTTTCCCACTCAAGCACCTTACCTGTAGCTGCCAAGATGACAATTGAGCCGGGGCTGCTGTCGTCTGCTCCCAAAACCAAGCCGGGGAAACCATGGAAGAAAGAATAAAAAAACAAACCACACACAAAAAATCTAAACAACGTGTGAGAAACCCAGGGGGAGACTGAGGATTGTGTTGAACTGTCACTTCAGACTGGAGTGACGGAGTTCTGGGCCTAGGAGAAGTTGGGGAGAGGGTGTAACTTGTCACAGAAGGCAGAGGGTGCAATAGGAAGAGGCAAGGGTTTGAAACTTCTGCTTCTGCTCCACTACAGAAACCCAAGGTGACACCTAAGACCACAAAGGCCGGTGGCCCTGGGTAGTGTCAAGACAATGGGAAAGATGGGAGTGATGGTGGCGGTATGACTGGGCGCTGCTAAAAATCACCTAAAACCACTCTAAGGCTGGTCTTCTTTAAAAAACATTATTATAGCAGACTTAAGGAATGAACTAAACAGAGATGAGTATTCCCATGAATCACACACATACACAATTTTACATATACACTTGGCAGACCTGTACGATGTACAGGATATGTCTCACTACGAGGAGGGTTATAAAAGAGAAAATCACTGCACTGGACAATGCCCTGTTAGATAAGCTCAAAAGAGGCAGGAGATCCCCCAAATCAAGCCATCCAGCCTCTTTGATGTAGAAAATACATTTTGTAGAATGAAATGTATACAATAGAAAAAATCCTTCCTTCCTGCACAGAGGGGAACCCACAGAAAGCTGCCCATGGTGTCAGCAGGAGCAGTCCCTGGCAGAACAGTCAGGGAAAAGCGATCTCTCTCCCGTGTCCTCATTGCACAGGGGGAGTCCCAGTGAACCAGGGCCACGGACTGAGGTATGCACCATCAGGTCTGCCAAAGCAAAGGGAGGACATGGCAGCCCTGTCAGGAGCAAATACAAATACCTTGGACTGGTCTGGAAGTATGCCTACATTCTCAGACAGAGTGGGGTTAAAGAGGGCGAGGGGTGGAGTACATTGGCCTGGCTGTGCCAACCCTGGGTAGCCCTGTTGCATAGCGGCGCTCTGATGCTCACTCACCATTTCCTCCACCTCCATGTTCTCAGGGTGGGGAGGAGCTTGATCCTGGGCTCAGGGACACAGGTATGCAGAGGGGAGCTGCCCCGGTGGAGGCTGGCTGGAGTCAAGGTGAAGACTCTGAGCTAGGACTGAGTCGTTTCTCCACGCAGACACAGTGGGGGTTGATGGTCCCGCATGCCCGCACAGTCGTCCAAGAAGACGCCAGGCGGTATTCCAGTTGGGGGCGTTCAGGGGCTTTCCTCTCAGAAGCCTGAGAGACGTGAGGTTTATCTCTAAGGGGTGCAGAGTGAGCATACGAGAGAGAAAAGTCCTGGGCTCCGGTAGGTGTCAAGGTGAGGACCTGAGGGAGACAGGGAGACCTGCCACCACTGAGGGTGGGGACCAAGGTCGGTCTTGCCTGCGGCCTCAGTCCTGGGGAAACGCACGCACAGGTGTTCGGACATGGCATTTTCTGCCTGAAGTCTTTGAGAGCCAGAGGGACAAGTGGCTTCTCCCGAAGGGGTCCAGTCCGACTGAGGTCAGCCCTTTAAGGAGGACCTCAAGGGAGAGGTGAGCGGGGCTCCCAAAGGTAGAGGAGTCTTGCGCCACCTCCCGCCCTTTCGGTGAACCCTGAGGAAGCCAGACAAGTTACCCGGATGTGCTGGTTCTAGAATTCCTTCAGGGAGTCCGAGGGGTGGCGCTTTGGCTGGGCAGATGGGGTGGGTCCTAGGCCTGGCCAATCATCAAGGCGAGGACCCTGAGGAAGGCCTGGGGGGACCGCCCACTGCACATAAAGGCACTCGGATTCCTGGACACCCCTGCAGACGTCCGGGAGGTGCTCCAGGCAGGTTGCTGGAATTTGGCGTGTCTGGCCTTTCCGTCTCAGAAGACCGAGGGACCTGGCGTTTTCTCTGAGGGGCGCGGAGTGAGGAAACGTGAGAAAGTCCTGGGCTCCGGCAGGCGCCAAGGTGAGGACCCGAGGTAGACGGGGAGACCTGCCACCACAGAGGGTGGGGGACAAGCTGAGTCCTGCCTGTGGCCCCAGTCGCGGGAAAACCCGCACACAGGTGTTCGGGTATGGCATTTCCTGGCTTAGGTTTTTTGAGAGCCAGAGGGACAAGAGGCTCCTTCTGAAGGGGTCCGACTCAGGTCAGTCCCTTAAGGAGGACACCAAGGCAGGCGTGAGGGGGGCTCCCATAGAGAGAAAAGTCTCTGGTACCGCCCCTCCCCCCGCTGCCCTTACTGTGAACCCTGGGAAAGCCAGATAGTCCCTGAACATTCCTTCATGGAGTCTGAGGGCTGGTGATTCACAGGGGGGCAGATGGAGGTGCTCGGGCCTGGCCAATCCGGCCTGGCCAATCCGGCCTGGCCAATCCTCGAGGCGAGGGCCCCAAGGAAGGCATGGAGGCACCGCCCACTGCACACGTAGGGACTGCAGCTCCTCGCTGTCCCTGCAGTAGTTCCTGGGGCGCCCCAACAGGGCTGAGGAATTTGGAGTATCTGGCCCTCTAGCCTCGTAAGTCTGAGGGATGTGAGGTTTTCTTTGAGGCGTGCAGACTTAGGGCAAAGGAGGGAGAAATTAGTTCTAGGCTCTGCCTGGCGGGAAGGTGAGGACCCTGAGGAAGAAGAGGGAGACCTTGAAGGCCGAGGGCGGGGACCAAGCTCCGTCCTGCTGGGGTCCTGGGCAGCTTCGAGCATAGATGATCAGATATGGCCGCCCCTGTTATCTCAGGACTCTGAGGTAGGTGAGATTCCATCTGCCTGCCCGGTGCCCAGTCAGCAGTGGGAGGAGTCTCAGGCTTTTCCTAGTATTGCCTAAGGGAGGAAAACCTTCCACCCAGTGTACTGGTCTGTAGGGGTGGGGGGAGGCGAAGAAAGCCCTGAGGTGCACTTGCTATTACTTCTGAGAATGCACAGGCAGGGTTTCTGACTATGGTGGGTCCCATCCCTCCTTCCATGCTTGGAATCTCAGGGACCCGAATAGGCACGAGGACATATTTTGAGGGAGGATTGAGCGTATCCCTCATCCCCGAACAGACTCCGGGCAGCGGGGTCTGCATTTGCTGTCTTTTTACTTTGTTTGGAGTGTCCCAGGAAGGGGAAGGCCTTGGTCTGAGCTGGTGACATCAGCGGAGGGAAGAGTCCCAGGATCTGTGAGGAGTCAAGGCAAGGTAAGGACCTTGAAGGAGGACTGAGGGTGGCTGGCCCCCAACTCAGACAGAAGGGGCTTCACAGAATCCCACCCTGTCCCCAGTATGCATCCTTGGAGCATCTGGGCAGGAGTGCAGAGATGGGGTGCGCCCCCACTTTCTGTATGGCGTGGGTGGAGGTGTTTCTGGGAGGCGAAGCCTTGGTCTGAGAGGCTGATTTCAAGTCACCAGAGGAGACGGGATGAGGCCCTGCCAGGAGCCAAGAGGAAATGGCTTGAGTGAGGAAAGAGGGAACCCCCGTCCCAGCACAGGTGGGGGTTCTGCTCCTGCTGTCGGCCCTGGGAGACCACATGCAGGAGCGGCTGGATGTGATGTGTCTTTCCTTTTGTCTTCACGCTTTCAGGGAGGAGAAGGCCTTTGTCTGAGTACAAAGGCAGGTCAGCTGTGGGAGCCACATCAGGTCTGAAGAGGGAGAGTCACACCTCTAGCAGGAGTCCAGGAAAGTGCTCTTGGTGAGGAACAAAGGTACTTCCCACCCTAGAGAGAAGAGACCCTGCAGAGCCCGGCCGTCCTCTGTTCTCAGCTCTAGGAAGACCTAGGCAGGGGGTGGCTGGATAGGGGATGGATGCTCTGACGTTCTGCATGGGTGAGGGAGGTATCCCAGAAAAGTGAGGGTATGTAGTCACAAGTGAGGGGGGCCTGTCAGGACCTTTCAGGATGAAAGACAAACACTGGAGTGGTGGGAGGATTGGGGATAGCCCCACCACAGAACTGATGGGGTCCAGCCCTTGCCATCAGCACTGGAAGGATCTAGTAGGGGTGGAAACATACGGTGCCTCGTCACTGTTGCCCAAGGTTCTCAGGGAGGGAAGGGCTTGTCCTGAAGGGCCTGGACTCGATAGGCAAGAGAGGGGCCCCAGGCCCCAAGGGGCATCTGAAGTAAGGGATAAGGCAAACGCTCAGATCGGGGAGAGGGGTCCAGGAGCTGTGAGGAGAGGGCCTTGGTGTGAGGCACAGGTGCCCAGGTCAGCAGAGCAGAGGAGGCCCAAACAGAGCTAGGAGTCAGTGCCAGCTACATGGTCAGAGTGACTACCAAGGGCCCCCCCCCCACCCACAGTTCCAGACCCTACCCGCTCACGGTCAGCCCCCGCAAGCCTTGGGCCACCCTGGCCAGCTGCACCTTCGAGAGCTCTCTGGTATCTTCCTACAGGTTCCTAGGAGACAAACCGTCCAGGAAGACAGGAGCCCTGTGAGGCCTTAGAGCACCCCCTGACCAGGAGACCTGTAAGTGAGCCTTCCTCAGAGCTGCCAAGGGCACGCTTCTCTGGGAAGGCCACTGACCCTCTCCTCTCTCCCCCAGGCTCGTGGGATCTCATCTCCCATTCTCCTGCTCACACTTCTGCCTGCGGCTCCCAGCAAGACTCAACATGTCTCGCACTTCAAAGTGTCCACGCCTCACACCTGAGCCTAGCTTTCAGGCCCAGAGTGAGATAGGTCTTTCCGTACCTGGGGAGGAGGAGGAGAATTCCTCTTGCTCTTTCACCTTCTCCTACCTCTCCAGCTCCTCCTCATCTTCCTCTCCTGTAATGGCAGATGCCCGAGAGGAGGAGGAGGAAATGGTGGCAGAGGAAGAGATGGAGAGGAAGGAGGGGGATGGGGAGGAGGAGGGGGAGGAGGAAGAGAAGCAGGAGCAGCCTGCTGCTGAGATGCCAGGTCCTTCCCAGAGTCCTCAGAGATCCATGGCACCGAGCACTTCAGCTGGAGGCTCCGGTGGCCAAGAAATGGAGGGAGCGAGCTCTCTGCAGGCCTCTGCAGACCCTGAATCTATGGAGATAGATCCACTAGAAGAGAAGGTGGCCAATTTGGTGCATTACATGGTCCTCAAGTATCGACTGAGGAAGCCTGTTACAAGGGCAGAAATGCTCCAAGTTGTTAAGAAAAGGGACAGGCGTCAGTTCCCTGTGATCTTTGAGAAGGCTTGTAAGTGCTTGGAGGTGATCTCTGGCATTGATGTGAAGGAAGTGGTCCCCGCCACCCACTCCTATGTCCTTGTCAACTCACTGGATCTCACCTATGATGAGATGCTTGGTGACCTCCAGAGCCTGCCTAAAAATGGCCTCCTGATAATCATCCTGGGTCTGATCTTTTTAGACGGCAACTGCGCCCTTGAGCAAAACATCTGGGAGTTCCTGAATATGCTGGGAGTGTATGCTGGGAGGGAGCACTTCATTTATGGAGAGCCTAGGAAGCTCATCACCAGAACCTGGGTGCAGGAAAATTACCTGCTGTACCAGCAGGTGCCCTAATAGTGACCCTCCACGCTACACATTCATGTGGGGTCCCAGGGCCCATGCTGAGACCAGCAAGCTGCAGGTGCTAGAGTTTTTGGCCAAGATCAAAGGGACCGACCCCGCTTCCTTCTCATGCTGGTATGAGGAGGCTTTAAGAGATGACAGAGAGAAAGCCCGCGCCAGAGTTGCCCCCGTGGGCCGTGCTGCTGCCCTCTCCATGGCAAAGAAATAAAGAGTCCGCAGCCTCTCCTCTCCCAGCTGAAGAATGAGCCCCAATCCTCACTCTGTGTGTGAAAAGGGCGCTCACAGTTCCAAGGAGAGGAGGGCCAGAGTCGGGGGGGTGGGTGGGCAGGCTGGGGAGAACACAGCGCACAGCAGCTCTGTCTTTGCATTCTGCGTAGGGGACCTGGAGGCTTACCTTGTTTTTCGCTCCTTTTGCTATGTTTCAAGTGCTGTTCCTTTTAGTAGAAAGTTCATGAGCTTTGGAATCTAAGGTGACGAAACAAATTTGTGTTGCATGCATTGCTGTTTATCGGGTGGAAGGATGAGTTTTGATATTTGGAAACATCAAAGTATTTGGGGGACCTTCCATCTTATTTTGTGATCTGGAAGAAAATAACGTGACACCGGTGTAGGAATTTCCTTGGAAATGTGAGAGAATCCTTCCGAAAAATAGAGCAAAACATGTAACGGCTGTTTAACTTTTGGATTTCTTAACCTTTTTACTTTCTTCTGTGAAATTAAAAGAGATGTACCTGGGTTTGCTTGGCTTATTCAAAGAAGTAGGACTAATCTTAGCAGATGTTAATAAATAAATTTTAGAAATGTCCACTGACTCCTTTATTTGCCGAGCAGTAGTGGTGTATCTTCCCTTTGGAGAGCACTGTGTTGACAGTGAAGGTACTAGGACAAGCAAGACACACCACCACCCAAACACTGGTAGGTAGAGCCTAGGAGCAGCGCTGACATCAGCAAGATGGTGAGGTGTCCTCCAACAGCTGTGGGTGGTGGCAGGGGCCAAGCTCTCAGAGGGCATGTTTCCGAAGTAAGAGAAAAGCCTGGAAGAGAAAACTGCTTAGCAGTTACTTTTGGGTCGTGGATGAGCCAGACAGAAATTGCCACGTGGGGTGGGTATGGAAGAGGTCCCGGCCTCTTGTCCCAATGCAGCTAACACAGTGCATGAACCAGGTGTTCCTGACCCATCAACTGCAATGACTTCTTGAGGACAGTGTGATAGACCCCTGAGGTGGTCCCCAGAAGCCACTACTAGGCTGGCACTCTTCCCTGGCCTGGGAGAGCCAGAGCTTGCTCCATTCAAGTGACAGTGAAGGTAGGCTATCTTAACTGTCATTAGTCCAACTCAGACAGGTAAGCCATGTCTACATTTAGGAGGCAGTGAACTGGATGAAAATAGCATTTTATGTGGACGAGTATCTGGGAGGGAAGGAACGAGCCAGCCTGGGACTTGAATACTGGGAACTCTGAGTTATATCAGCTGGGGAAGAGTAACCCATACCCAAGTGAATATATCCTCTAAGAGGAAAAATTAGCAGGCTCTATTCGTGAGGCCGCATCTTTGCCTGATTTGACATTCTGCCTCCCGTCCAGCTGCACATTATCTGAGAACGTCCTGGATGAAAACAAAGTCCCACAGGAGAGGGTGGTAGGAGAGGGTCTGGGGACAAAGTCATGTTAGATATTGCCGCCCGTCATCAAAGAATCAATCGATGTCAGGTGCTGTGCCAGATGCTTTCCTCACTTTCCATGCATTCTGGCAGTCCTTCCCTGCCAGACAGGGCCGATCAAACCCATTCAACAGGTGATGAACCTAAGGCTCCTAACGCTCCGTAATTTCCCCAAGATTTTACTGCTAGTAAGTGACCCGGCTGAGACAGGAACCCTGGTCTGACTTCACCTAGGGCCCTCGTGCTTTCCACTCCTAGCCCGAGGCAGGGTTTCTGTGTCTTACTCCTTGTCTCTTCTCAGTACTGCATAAAGTCTCTCAGAGGAGAAAAAGAAGGGCCACGTGGCAGGGTACCGGAGGCGGGCCTAAAGAAGGAAGGGGAAATGAGAGTAAAACATAAATTGGGGATTGTCTGAGCTGTCTTTTGGCTCCGCCAGCTCTGAGCCCTGGTGTAGCTGACTCTGCTCAGGTGCTGGCATTTGCGTCCAGTGCTAGCAGTTGCAGGAGTGGCAGCAGCCTCTCCCCGACTTTCCCCAGCGTGCTGATCTTGTTTTGTACTGATCTCAGCCCACCAATAACCAATGTGGTGGCTGGCCCAGCCCTTGTGGTTCTTACTATGACTGCAAGGCATCCTTCGACAGTAATCATTAGGAAACTTTGAGAGGACAAGTTCATTCCCTCCAAGACCTGGACGTTACAGGGCCCAACTGGGGGCGACACAGAGAGGGAGGGTGGGGGTGAAAGGGAACAGAGGGGAGAGGCCAGGGCAGGGAGCGCACCTGGGGTTCTGCTTTTGTGGGGCTTGAGAGTGGGTGCCTAAGGTTGCATGGGTTCACTCTTGATCATAGCAAGGCTCTAGAGCACAGGAGTGAGAGGGGAAAAACCAAGTACCCGAAATGGTCAGTTGCTGAAATCAACCAAGATTTCTAAAACCAAGGAGCCTCAGCTGGGGGGAGGGGTGCAGCGGCTTGGCTCTTTGTCTAGTCCAGGGCCTGGCAGTGTGTTTATTAGAGATGGTTGAGAGGGTCATGTTTGAAGTGGTTGCCTGTTGGCAATGGATGCCGGGATGATGAAATCTTAATCCAGGTACTTGTAGTGTAAAAAAAAGTTAATACATTATATGTTCACATGTGCACTACAGCCCTCCTGTCCATCTCTGCAGCGTGGCCTGTTGCCCAGGTCTTCATTATGTCTTTCTTCTGAATGCTGTGTCCAGCTCCTAAGTGGACAATCAGAACCACCTGCATTCCCCCTTTACAGAACAGTCCCACTGACTGCAAAATCTCCCAGGCTGTTACATCAGTCATTCTGGAGCCCTGATGGAAACAGCCCCTTCATGTTAAAAGTTTGATTTGGACAGTGTTGTTTGGATTAACCTATAGTGACTTGACTGCTCATCCCCAAAATATATGTCCAAGTCCTAATTTCATGTATCTGCTTATGTATTCTTACTTGGAAATAGTCTTTGCAGATGTAAGTGCATTAGGAATCTTGAAATGAGGTTGTCTTGCATTTAGTATGGGCCATACACACAGAAAGGAGATGGAGATTCAACACAGAAAGACATAGGAAGGGAATGTGAAGAATGAAGGCAGTTTGGAGTGATCCATTTACAAGCCAAGGAATGCCAAGGGTCACTGGTAATCACCAGGAGCTAGGAGAGAGCCATGTGATGAAATTATCCCTCATGGAGGATTCCAGAAGGAATTCCAGAAGGAACCAACCTGTTGACAACTTTATTTTCAGACTTCTGGCCTCCAGAACTATGAGAGAATATATTTCTATTGTTTTAAGTCAGCCAGGTTGTGGTAATTTGTTACGGCATGCCCAGGAAGCTACTACATGGTCATTCTCCAAGTGTATTTAACAAAGTCTCTAAGTGTTTTTCTTTCATTCTTTTTTTTTCAGACTTTAATTATTTACTTTTAGAGAGAGGGATAAGGAGGGAGAAGAAGAGGGAGAGAAACACCAATGTGTGGTTGCCTCTGGCACACCCCTCACTGGGGACCTGGAACGCAACCCAGGCATGTGCCCTAACTGGGAATGAAACTGGCAACCCTTTGCTTCACAGGCTGGCACTCAATCTACTGTGCCACACCAGCCAGGGCTGTAAGTGTTTTTCGAATGGGCTTGTGAGTAGAGTGACTTGGGACATGATTTACTGATTATTAGGGTCTAACTCTTAACTTAGATTATTTTTGAAACCACCCTGACATTTGCAGTGGGATTTTAATGGGATGGCTGTTTGAAATTGGCCACTAAACACATACAGAAATGAATGACTTTACTCACACATTTAAAAACAAAAGCCTCCCTTATAAAGGGTAGATTCAGAAAAACCATGGAAATCTCTGTGTGATCAAACATCTACAGAGGCTGAATTCTTACAATAATTGGAGTCCTTCCAGAAGGTGAAGAACAGTTTCTTAGCAGTCATACTAATTCTTATTTGAAAATAAAAATCAGCCATTATTACAGACTGCCTGTTTGTGCCCCCTCAGAAATTCCTGTGTTAAAACCATAACATCCAGTGGCGTAGTATCAGAAGGTGGGGCCTTTGGGAAGTTACTAGGTTTTGATGAGGTTATGAAGGTGAAGACCTATGATGACATTAGTGTCCTTGGCTATGTGATGATTAAATGAGAAGATGGCTGTCTGCAAAGCAGGAGAAAGGCCTCACCAGATACTGAGTGTGCCACCACCCTGATCTTGGATTTTGCAACCCCCAGAACTATGAGAAATAAATTTCTGTTGTTTAAACCACAAGATATCTTGTTATAGCAGTCTCGGCTGACTAAAACAACTATCCTTCCATTGCCCTTTGTAAACCTGCTCCACAGGAAAAGACTCCTGTAGAGGTCTTCAGGAATGTTCAGTCATGCGGAAGATAGCAGAAAATAATAAATTAATATTTTGAACATGCATCATCACAGGGAGAGAGAAAATCCTCAGTCTTTTGAGATTATAAAGGTTGTTGCAAAGAGCCGTGCAGTGCTATTGAGTGAAAAGGGAGGGTTCTTCCTGCTAATATATACAGGATCCTTTGAAAACTAGATGTGGTCCTATATTTGAAAGCATGTATCACATTATAGGCTCTTGGAAAAGTTGGTGAATTTCAAGTAAAAATTTATTTTCTCAAATACTCCTTTAGGAAATGAAGAGGCCCTGGCTGGTGTGGCTCAGTGGATTGAGTGCTCTCTTGTGAACCAAAGGGTCTCCAGTTTGAGTCCTAATTAGGGCACATGCCTGGGTTGTGGGCCACGTCTCCAGTAGGGGGTGGGTGAGAGGCAACCACACATTGATGTTCCCCTCTCTTTCTCTCTCCCTTCCCCTATGTCTAAAAATAAATAAAATCTTAAAAAGAAAAGAAATGAAGAGGGCTGTTGTCATAACAGATTATAATAGTTGCTTTTTATTGAACACCTACTATATGACAGCTTATGAGAGACTACAAGTGCTCATTCACATCTTGTCTTTCCCTCCTTCCTGGAACATCCATTTGTAATTAGGCAGGAGCCAGTATGCAATTTCCATGCTTCCTTTGCCAT